TGCCGGACCAAAGAGTGGCGGGGCGGGGGGAGGAGTGGTGTGCTATACAGCCTTGACGTGTTGCCCTGATTTATGAAACGCGAGAAATAAATGGGTGCTTTCGGCCGAATGACAAATCGGCGTTCACCAGATTCCACACCGCGCGGCCCGCCATGGCAGCGTCAAACCTGTGATCAAAACGACTTCACCGGAGCTATATTCAATTAAGCGTTTTTCGTGAGCTACGCGCCCCCAAGCGTGGCCCAAGCGTGACCCAAGCGTGAGCTCCGCTTGGCGCGGCGTGGATCGCGGGCGCCGTTCCTCCCCGCTCCCTGCCCCTCGCCCTGTTCACGCTTGCAGAAGCGCACGCTTGGGGTCGCGTAGCTCAGAGAAATGCTTAGTTGAATATAGCTCGGGCGGTGGGAGGGCGGCGGCGGCGGTGGACCGAGGGAAGGGGGAGGGGGGCTGCGGGCGGGACAGGCAGTTATACGGCAGCACGGCCGACACCAAACACCTTATACCCCGTTACGGACCCCCCAGCCCCTTCCCTTTCCACCCCACTCTCCCGGTGTCACAACGACGACGGTAACGGCGATAGTTTTAAAGTTTTGGGTTCGAGGAGGGAGCAAGGCGAGCGGGGCGCGGGGCGGGCGGTGGGTGAAAAAAATCGTGACGCCGCCGCCGCCCCCCTAACCCGTCGTCATCCCTCTTTTCTCACATTTTACAAGAAGCCGCCCGTTTTTCACCCCCCCCCCCCTTTGCCTCCTTACCTTTATCACACTCGAGCAGCGCGACCACTGCACTGCAGGCGGGGGGCGAGCGGGCTGGGGCCTTAGGGCCAGCCCGGGCAGGCGCCGGCCGAACTTGCCTCCGCGTGCATTTTAACGGGAATATTATTACCCGCTTACCGAGCCGCTGCGCTGGCCGGCCTGGTGACCTGCGATTATATATATTTTCGGATACGGGCGAAAAAGAAAAAGAGAGATTGGTTACGGGGAGCGGTGGAGTGGGGAGGTGGAGGGGGGCATTGGGACGGGGTTGCAGGCTGATCGTCGAGTATACGTTGCGCGCTGGCGGAGGCGGGGTGCGGTTGGGGAAAGGGGTGGGGGGAGGCGCGCCCAGACCTCGGCAATATTATAATTGTGCTCATTCATTTCGGTTGTCTCTATTCAGTGCGGTTCACCTCCGCGCCCCCGCGCCGCGCCGCCGCCCGCAGCCCGCGTCTTCTTCCTCAAAAGGGAACCACTTCAACGCTAACGATGATAGCCCCTC